GCCGAAGCGATGATAAATGATCCAGTTTATCCACACAGACGCTGTTAGGAGAGTTTTAGTCAAACTGACCTGAGTGTTGGGAAACAGAGCCTATAGATTGTAAAAAACTCAAATAAAATCCTTTGTTCTGTGATGACCCTTTAAAGAACTGACAGCGCCGCTATTAGTAAAGACAGACTTTATTTATTTGAAGCATCAACACAAGCGACAAACACCTACATTTACAGGAGCGTGAAATCAAATGACAGATTAAAGATGAACAGTTCTCTGTTCTTCTGCTGATATCTTCAGGTCAGACAGATTGCTTGTTCTTGTTTTTGCGCTGCGCATGCAGAGTGCTGTACTCGTCCGTACGCGTGTTCAGCGGCTAAACAACATACAAACACACAGATAATACATGAACCAGTGTAATTACCAACTTTAATTATCTGCATTTAATCTGAACTCATGCCTTTAATATGATGATCGTCTTGGGAGTCCCTTTCCTAAATAGTATTGGGTATTATATCTTTCTATCTCTCTCTCTCTCTCTCTCTCTCTCTATATATATATATATTATGCATATGTACATTTAATTTTTTTTTGAATTTTTATGTATTCTTCTATGTATACAGACCCAATTTATACTGTAAAAAATTTAAATATTATTATTTTTTATTTTTTTAGAATTTGCATTTTTGATTATCTTTAGTTTCTATTAATATATTAATACAATAATGTCATTTTTTCCCTACCTACCATTATCAGAAACACAATAATTAGACTGTAAATAAAATAAACAATTAGATGTATAATTTCAGACCAGTATTTGGAAAGCAGAATGAAACCCTTTCAGTTTCCGGATATATTTTAACTGATTTATTGTTATTATTACACTACAATTTTCTGAATATTTTCACAGACCTCATATATATATATATATATATGTGTGTGTGTCCCTGCAGCACAGAAGCAGTGTTGAGTCGCTGGGGGATATTTGTAGCAATAGCCAACAATACATTGTATGGGTCACAATTATACATTTCTCTTTTATGCCAAAAATCATTAGGATATTAAGTAAAGATCATGTTCCATGAAGATATTTGTACATTTCCTACCGTAAATATATCAAAACTTAATGTTTGATTAGTAATATGCATTGCTAAGCACTTCATTTGAACAACTTTAAAGATGATTTTCTCAATATTTAGATTTTTTTGCTCCCTCAGATTCCAGATTTTCTAATAGTTGTATGTCAACCAAATATTGGTTTTGTGGTCCAGGGTCACATATATAGTTTAATAACATTTCCCTGTTTTTATAGACTGAATTGTATCACAGCAGGTAAAGTGTGTCAAACGCTGGTGTGAATCTTCACTCGTACCTGATAAGTGTCTCCTCCTGACGGAGTGTGATTACTGATCAGAGCCTGTTTGTCAGAGGCTGAAGAGAGAAACACAGACAGATGAACCAGTGAATCCTGATTGCATTATAATGTAATCATCGTGAATCCTGATTCACTGATATTGATGATGATCGTGACGCACCTTTATTCCCCTGATAACTGCCTCTGGTTGTGGGTTGAGCGCAGATGGTGTAAATGGCCCATCCGATCAGAGCGGTCGCTATTACATCGGCCACGAGAACAGTGAACACAGCCCCAATGTCCAGCTCGATCAGATTCTCACTGCCTGCACACACACACACACACACACATCCACACACACACACACACACACACCACACGCACACAAAAACACCAACACCCCACAACCAACACACAACACACACACACACACACACACACCACACGCACACACACACCGATGCATTATAAAAGTGTTCATAATGTACATCATAATGCATTCTATCCTTTCTTAACTCTAAACACATTTAAAATTCATTATGATTTCTTGTTACATCTAAAATCAAGTTTGAATGCAGATTATGTAACAGTAAATAGAAAAGCATTGTAACATTATAAATGTTGTTACAAACATTCATGAGATCATTATAAAGTGCATTACAAGGCATAATTAATGCATTAAAAACGTAATACTTTTATAATGTATTACATGTAAAGCTGAGCTGCAGAAGACAAAGTAATACATTTCAGATGAAATCTGTCAGAATCTGCTGTAATTCTGTGTAGCTAAGTTTATTGACTGTCATTAAAGGAAAACAGACAGCAAATACCAAGGCTTGTCACGAGTTTTCACTCAAGTGCTGATAATTAATTTGTATGTATTTGATATTAAATCAGAGGGAAAAGGGTGTGGGCCGAGTCTCAGTGGACGTGTCCGGCTCTGCCACATATAAAGTTTACTCACTCAGGATTTTTACTAGGGCATTTGGACAGGTGTCATCACTACACTCATCACTTAGAGAAGATTTACACTGGTGGAGTCCAGAATTATCATAATTCAACTGTATTGTGTCTCCGTCATCAAATGTTCCACCTTTACATTTCAGAAGCATGTTCTGTTCTTCAAAAGAGATCTCTGGCTTCTTCTGATTATCTGCAAAGTTAACATTAGATC